GAACCCATGCACCTCCCTCTGCTTTTCCTTGTGCATCATGGGCTCCAGCCCCAGACCATTTTGGCATCCATCCACTGGAATTGCTTCCGTTTGTCAATGTCGTGTCAAAGCCATGAGCAGCCAGTTTTTCCAGGAGAGTGCTGTGGGAATGGGTGCTGTCAAAGACTTTGCTAAACTCCAGGTAGATGACATCCACAGCCTTTTCCTCATCCACTGAGTGGGTCACCTTGTCACAGAAGGAGATCAGGTTAATCAAGCAGGACCTGCCTCTCACAAACCAGTGCTGACTGGGCCTGATGGCCTGGTTGTCCTGTGTGTGCTGTGTGGTGGCACTCATGATGATCTGCTCCACAAGCTTCCCCAGCACCGAGATCCGACTGACAGGCCTGTAGCTCCCCGGATTCGTCTTCCAGCCCTCACACATTTGCTAACTTCCAGTCAAGTGGGAACTCCCGGTTAGCCAGGACTGCTGGTAGATGATGGAAAATGGCTTGGCGAGCACTTTGCCAGCTCCCTCAGTACCCTTGGGTGGATCTCATCCAGCCCCCTAGACCTGTGCATCAACACAGATACGTGACTTTGCAGTTTTTTTGCACTTCGTAATGTTCCCGTCAGACCATTTCTTCCGCCAGTGTGTCTGTGGGGAAGTGGGATGTGAGAGTGGGGTGGGTGCAGCTCTATTCATACAGCAAAACTTTTCACGTAGACAAGACCCTCTGTGCTGACCAGAGCAGATGTTCAACTTGGTCAGATGTTTTCACCTCTAGTTTGAACTGTGTGGCGATATTCTTGAGGTCCTTGCTCTAAATGTATAAATGTCTCAGTTAGGATCAAAAGGTGAGTTTTTTTCCCAATATTTTTCTCAAGGGATGGTCAAGGTACTATAAGAGAATCAGCATTTCAAGCATTTCTTCCAGTGCTGTTCTGCATGGTCAGTCAATTGTATGGACTGCTGAGAACTCATTCTAGGTTCACCAGCTTGTGGATTTCACTAACCATCTTCATGTTTCTTAACTACCTTAATAAATTAGTCAGAAGTTGTGGTACAGGGCAAAACCCAAGCTGAGTGGCAAGATTTTGAACAATGGGATGAGACTGGATTTGCGTTTAACAAAATGCCTGGGTCCTTTAGTTGCCCATGAATGTAACCGGGAGATCAGCACTTATCACAACTTGTGTCTCAAGCCGTGTACACATAGAAGCTCTGCAGGCTCTTGCTGATTTAACGGGCTGTTGCTGTAGATGAGGGAAGCTGAGGCAGAAAGCAAAGCAGGCTGCCTGCGGTCACGGACGAGGTGTGGGTCAGAGCAGTGCCCACGGTTCTTTCCTGGTGCTGCTTATTACACATCACTCAGGTCATTTCTGCCTTTATCATCAGATCTAGCAGCGGTGCAGAGCTGCTTGCTTGCTGAATCTCATTGTATCAACACTTAAATGATTAAAGAAAGATTAATGTCATAGATGTAGTGTGGTTAGAGACTGTGGCCAGAAAATCAGTGAAATATAGAAATTATTTATATAATTTCCATGCACGCTTGCTCTCTTGGTTTAATTTGTGTTCTGCTCTCAAAGCCTGAGGAATATTAATAGGCAGTCCAGGTTTTCTTACGGGGACTTTTACTTTATTCAGCTCCTTATTGGATATGTATTGTTTGTCCTTAGCAGTGGAAAATACAGTTGAAACCTCTCTTTCTCAGTTGAATAAAACAGTATGACAAATACCAGTGTGACCTGATAAAGTCTTTGGATAAAACTGTAGCCAATTTCTATTTAAAACACTCAGAGGAGTCATTATTTTACTCACAGGCCACTTTTAAAGTTGGGCACATGCTGTGTTTTGCTCTTTTATGATGTATAAGGAAGTTGGTGCACTCCTGGGTTTTCCTTTAGCCTTTTCTGCCATGATTACTGCCATACATGGAGGGTATTTTGCAATTATCTATGCAGCAGTTTGGGAGGGCAGCCAGTCTGGGAATGCTTCTTCATGACACCTCAGTCACCAGCACTGATGCTTGCTTCACTGTCTGATGATTTCTGGCAAATTACTGGGTCTGGATCAAAATTAACTTGCAAAGACCCAAAAAATGTAATTTTTGGATCTGGTCTGTCTCATCAAGTGACTGCATGAGCATTGGAGCCAATGCAAAGGAAGGACAAGACTTTGGGAGTAAAAGGCGGCTTTTTAGGGGCAGCCTGATTAGATTGGCCTAAATTCATCTGACCCTGGCAAAGTGTTGGGTTCCTGAAAATCAGGAACAGGAAAACTTGACAGTCAAGATTAGTGTCAGCCTGCATTTGGATAACTTGACTATTTTCAACGGATAAACTCTCTTCAACATAAGAGATTTATTAATGAAGGTAGAGCTGGGCATCAGTGCTACCCACCAAGAAGTCCAGTGGCATTTGAACCTACAACAAGTTTCAGTGGTCTTGATACTGTGTGAGATAAATAAAAGAACTAAAAATCAAAGATTATACAGATTATAGATAAGTAAAAGAACTAAAAATCAAAGATGATCAAACACAAATGTTTCTAGTCTTCATTTTCATTGTATAAAGTGCAAAATGCCTGATACCCATCCATAACCAATTCCTCATCCGCTCACTTTGCATAAGAGAGCAGTAGCTGGTGGAGATTCTGGTCACTTGTCTCACATCAGGTGCTGTTGGTCAGAACAGAGTGCTGCAGGTGCTAAAATAGAGTGAGCACAACGTAATTTAGTAATCCTAAATTCTTGGTGGGGACCACCCCAATGGAAAGGGCACAACTGCTTTTGTGGCTGAAGGTCGTGCACAAATTCCCACAGTATTACAGCCCCTCAGGTCCTTCCCAGCCCCATTTCCATAAATCTCTTCCACTGCTTGTAGATGTGTCCAGGACTCCGCTGTTAGAAAGACTGTCCTTTTCAAAATGTAAAATTTTGTCACCTAGTTCAGTACAGGAGTGGAGGAGAAGGCTGTAATTTGGTGATTCTGATCAAAGCAGAGGTGATAGTATTGTTTGTTGGTTGTTTTGTTTTATCCACTTGTAGGGATCTGAGCACTCTTACCACTTACTGATGTGTGAGAAGGCTGATCCTCGGGAATTAGCATCTGAATGAGCATGTGCAAATGAGCTGCTCTGGTTGTGATAGAAATGGTTCTTGAAGGAATCACACCTTTTGACATGAAAGCAAATATACTAATCTCTGAGCAGACGCTGGGAAATAAAATATTTGTTTTGTCTGTGTGACACTTCTTTGTGCTACGGTTCCTCTTGTACATCATTATATTGAAAGGATATAATTGGAGTAACAGGGGAAGAGCAATAATAATAGTACTTAAATCTTGCATGGTTTTATGAAATCACTTTTTTTTTTTTTTATGCTGCTGATTGAGCGGTGAAAAGAGCTGGAAGTCTTGCAAGGAATGCAAAGAAATAACACCTGGCACAGTGGAAGACTTGCAGTACAATACGAATGTTGATCCTTTAAAATCACAAATCATCTTTCTGTTACTTCACTGTAGAGTAAGGTCTCCTCAAGATAAGACTCAGCAGTGCTGTGGAGTTGGTATTTAAAGTATGTCCATCTGCATCTAAACGAGTAGCTCCAAGACAATCAGATTATGCAGTAGTTACTTTGGTGAGAATATCGCCTAAGTGGAATGGAAACTTCATTTTGAGTCTAATATTAGACCCTGCTTTGGAAAATTCCTTTTAAATGATCACAAGCTGGGAATAGCAAAAGAATTTAACTTTCGACAGACAGCGTTCACCAAGAATTTGTTTTTAACTGCTTATGTTGGGTCCCTGGGAAAGCAGATGTGAAAAACTTACCAAAGTGAATTGACTTGACCTGATGCAGTGTTTATATCAGTAGTTGATAAGTTTTTCCTCCCTCGTCTAATTTGTTCAGGATATTTTCATTCCTTAGGCATGAGTAAGTCTGGGTTGGAATAGTTTGAATGCTTGCTAGTCTAATAATCTGAATCTTAAAACATGCAGACATTATTGCCTATAAAGGGTCTAAGCAAAGTTGAACTATTTTGGTTATCTTCCACGGGTGGGGTGAGTATCGTTTCTGAGACTAGCGAAGGAGGTGGTCAGACAAGGTGATAACCTCCTGGTAGTTCTGGGAGCATATCGATACCTGCTGGATTTGTACTTCAAAATGCGCTTGGAGTAGGTGACCCTTTTGAATGCATGTTACCTTTTATGCAGCTCTACACAGGACTGGCTTTCAGTGGCAGCTAGGGAAACCGGCAACCAAGGATATCAAACCAGATTAGAAGGGCCATGATATTATTAATATTCCTCTGACAGAAGGAACTTGAGGAATTATAGAATACACTGTGAATGATGCACAGCTCAGGGATCGTCAGAGCCACTGGTACCTCTCATCTTAGCTTTTCTTTTTGTTGATCAGACACTGTCACTTTGAATATTTTAACTAATTAATTCCTAAATAAGCCCCCCATCTGTATGGAGCATGTCTAATTAAATAATTTTTGATGGAGGGAGGAGAAAAAGAGAAAACTCATGGTTGGGGCTGGCCTCCCCAGCTCTACCCTGTCCACGTGCTTTTGTGGTTTGGCCATTGTTGATGTTGTTTCCAACTTGAGGAAAACATCCCCAGGAGCTTGCTGCAAAGCGGGGCTCCAGCTTGGCTTTCTTCTGCCAACACATGAGACAAGAAGTGGAACAACCGCCAACAAGATAATGGAATGAATTCGGTGCCAGGGTAACTATTTCAGTGGGAAAGACATTAGAAAGAGAACACTGATCTCTTTAGCAGTTCTCCTTTAGTGCATTAGGTGGATTTACGTGACTCAGGAATGTATTTCTCAGACAGAAATCAGATTATGATTTTAAGCATCTGTTAAACATTGCCTCTTTTTTCATGAAGCCTAACACCAACCTTTTTGTCTTTATTTGTACCTGCGTGTCTGTAATTCTGCTATAATTTCTGATCTTTCAGGAATTTCTAAAATGTCTAAATTGTTTATCTGTCTCCTTGCAGGCAAGTCTCACCTGGCTATAGTACAAAGAGTAAACAATGAAGGAGAAGGGGATCCTTTTTATGAAGTCCTGGGAATTGTCACTTTAGAAGATGTGATTGAAGAGATCATCAAGTCTGAAATTCTGGATGAAACAGATCTATACAGTGAGTAGAAATATTTGCACTTTGTTTATAGACAAGAGGGAAGACTCCATCCAGCAGCAGTTGTGTTTAATAGCTTGTTTTGAGAGATGTTAAGTTGCTGATTTAAAATCTCAGTGGTCAAATGACCTGCAGATCCCTCAGAGGGTCAAAATAATTTTTGTTTTCGCAGCACGGGCACCTCACCCCTTTGTGCTGTATTAATTCAGAAACAGGACAGGTTTCTTTATTTGACCCTTCCATCAAGAAGGTTTACATCTGCAACAGTCTGGCTTCTCCTGCTAGCTGTTCCGCACCACAGTGGCCTTGTTAAACCGTTTTGTTAGGGTGCCCACGACCTCCCACGTTTTCCCCTAACCTTCCTCTGCATCAAGGGCCTGTAGTCCATGTACTACCACTACCGTATGTTAGCAAGAAGGCAGACAAATACCTATGCCTTAAGGAAGGGGAATGGAGTCTCTTCAGAGTCTCTCTCTGTCAATCATTGAGAAAACCTAGGAATAGAAGGTCTTCTTCAGGTCTGAAAACCAGTATGTTCTAAAGGACTGCTCTTTTTATCACTCGGTACAGCTTCCTTTGTGTTAAAGTATGTTGAGGGAGATGATGCTGCAGGTCAACCATTGCCTGGGACTTGAGAGATCTGGACTCTTTTCTTTCCCAGTTTAGAGTTTGTCTGGTCTTTGGCCAGTTAACAAAAGTATTTTTGCTTCTCTTCCCATCTGCGTGATCTGGCCTGTGCATACGGGACTTCCTTTGTGTCATTCTTCATCTCTCTTATCTGTGCTTTGATCACTTGCTGGCAGAAGCTATTTTTTACATTTGTGTGTAGCACAAGCACCTCTAGATTCTATTGTAATAGAAATAATAATTTTAAATATCTTTAACACTGTCCTCTGCATTCTTCTTCTTTCCTCATGAAAGAGATCTGAATGTTTCTACAGCATCTTTTTCAGGCTAATGCAAGCATCCTCTATCCTCCCTCTAATCCAAATGAGCACTTTACATTGTGGGGTAGACTTACTTATACTTTTCCTAATAGATTGCTATTGTCTGAACTACTTTTTGTAGTGTTTTACCAGTAGTTATGTGCCCAAAGGTTCATGTAAATCACAGTTGTGTTTTACTGTATGCTAAACATTCTAATTACTGTGCAAATCACAGGAATCCAGTTAGTATCGATTTCTTTTCATACCATCACAACTGAATTGTTGGGCTGATCAGTTACAACATAATGCTTTACAGGATGGATTCAGACTTTCTCTCATACTCCAAAAATATACTGTCTTTGTCCCATCACCTTTGAGGTATTTCCATGTTTCTATGAGTGAAAAGACATTGCATATGGTTTTCAGTGGGGTTTTTTCCCTTGTTTTTTAAGAGAAACCACATAGGTCATGCTGTGGTGTTCTTCAGGATGAGAAAAGCTTTGACCATTTATAGCATGTTAGAGGGCAAGGAAGTAAGAATTTAACTTCACTGTCTGAAGACTTCCTAGATTAAGAAAATAGAGCTGGTGAACATGCATTCATTTGAAACTCTCCTTCCTGGGAAGGTTTTACTATTGAAAATTCCTGGTTCAGAACAGGAGGGAAACTTCACTTCTTAGGCTTCCTGGAGGATGCAGGAAATTTTGGGGGTTGACTCCTGCTGCCATGACGAAGCACTGGAGTTCATTCCACTGTTTAGACTGAAGGAAACTGTAGCAGTAAGGGAGAGAACAGAAGTCCAGAGAAGCTGTGAGGATCACAGAAAACAGATAGGCTTTGGATTTGGGTAGATTGATATGCTCTAACCACTTCCAATTGGTGTAGTGATGGGAGCATGCTTTGCGTTTCCCCAAGGTGCTTGTTGTCCATGGTATATTAAGGCAGCTCATTTTTGATGCTGATATCCGTGTGTCAGTGCTAGTAACCCCATCTAGTACTAGAGTTCTTTGATGCTCTTCGTTACAAGACCAAGCTGGCTTGCTCAGATCAGACCAAGCCAACTGGAAACCTGTGGACTGATTTGCTCTATGGTAGGTGTTTACTTAGAAGTAGACCTTATGAAAAATTTTGTTCTGAAGTTTTAAAAATGTTTGCTTTGATGGAAACCTGAAAATAGGTGCAGTGGCTGACCTTGGTGTTGGACCTGTGCCTTTCTGCTGTTTCCATGAAAATCCACTTGAACTGCGTTAGGGTAGAAACAGTTGTGTATTTACAGTTTTTGTTGAAAGCTGCTCTCACTGCTGAAGCTCTGAAGCTGAATTTCTTGAGGGTTGCATGCCTAATAAACGTGTGATATTTCTTCAGATTGCTCTAGTCTGTTGTGTCTTATGGCTCACAGACATATTGGGAGCAAGGAGAAGAAGATGAGAGCAAGAAAATTATTAAATATGTCTGACCTATCAGCATCTGGATAGACTGAGTACTTCTGAGCATGAAACTTTGTGTTGGGGATGCTGATGGGGTGGAGAGAAGAGGTTTCTGTCATGACACAGGTAGGCTCTGACTACATCTCAGCCAGTGTCATGAGGAAGAGCTATCAGTGCGTTTGGCTCTTAGTATTGGGAAGTTGGAACATTTTTTCATGGTTGATGCACTATGGGAATCTGTCCAGCACTAGCTATGGTGGGAGAGCAGTTTTCAACCTTCTCAGAAGCCCAAGAGAAAGCTGTACGTTCTGCGTTGGCCTCAGGCCACAGAGTCTGCTTGAGGAACGTGGAGCTCACCGTTCTCACTCGGGTTTGACTGGCAGCCTGTCTTATTTAGCTGTTTCTAATTGAAGATGATTTTAATCATCCCCTTAGTGCAGCCTGGAATGCTGCTCGTTTTTAGCCATACAAAGTTGAGGGTTTGCCCCACCTAAAACCTGGGATTTTTCTGCAAACTAAATACCTTAACACACCCTTGTGCATGTGTTCAGCATGTTGCAGATAAAGAGTCTGGTTGTAAGCATGAGCTTACGATGCATTTTTATGTCCTCACCCACGTGTTCAGCAGTCTGGGCGACCACGAGCCCCGGCGAGCCCATGCTGCAGGGGCACTGGGTGCCAGGCCGTGGGGCGCGTGTCGCAGAGCTGCACTGCTGCAACAGCTTTCACCTAATGATATTTTTTTTAGCCTTGCCAAGTCACTTTCCTGAGGGATAGGCCACGTCTTACCCAAACATTCCTATTTCCAAATATATCTGCTAGTAAACTCTGTATCACGTCTCCCATTTAAACCACAGAGCTAGGGAATAAAAATTGTTTGCCCTATTAAGTATTTCCGCTGTCATCAAGTGAAAGCGTAGCAACATAGAAAAGGTGGTGCAACGCCGATTTGTCTGACAAAACCTACAGGTGTGCATCAGTATCCTACGCCAGGAGAGCAGAACTTTGTGTACCTGGAATATAATCTTCAGATACATCAAGGTGGTTGCCACCCATTAGAAAATGATGCTTTTACCTGCCAGGAGGACTGTGGACTTGCTGACCTGCTGTCTAGCACCTGTAGCTGCAGGAGCTGCTTCCTTACAGGAAGCTATTTTAGGCTCTTTAAGAACTTCAGGTTTAGTCCCGCTGACTTTCTGTCCATTGCCAAAACATGCGTGATACCTGGTTTTCCCAGTTAGGGACAAAAAGAACTGACAAAATGAACTTAGTTAATTCCTAAACCTTTCTTTTAAAATGAAACACTCACAGGCCTAAAAAGTGCAGCGTGTGGGGCATTGGCTGTCAGCCTAGGTCTGTGCATCCCTGGGGGGATGAGCGAGAGTGGGACATGGGATGTGTGCTGAGCAAGGCTCTGGCATCCACCTCTGACTGCCTTGGGCTAGGCATCCTAGGGAAAACCTTAATAGAAATCTGTTAATTACCAATATTGTGCATTTCCAAGCCCCAAACTCAACCGCTCTGAGCCTTACGTGGTCTGTAGCTTATATTTGGACACTTGGAGGACTCCAGATCTCAGTGGCTTCCTTGCTATGGTACATCATTTCATCATTTTTGCATGAATAACCCCAAATCTGGCAACAGCTACCTAGGAGTATATGTGAGGTTTCACAAAGTTAGCTTCACCTGTACCCTTTTGTGTGCTTGCCCAAATTCTATGCAGTGAATCAATGTACCAGAACTGCCTGTGGTCCCTCAGAAGTCCAGTCATTTTAAAGCTGTGGCTAGGGCTGTGGTAGACAGGTAGCTACTGTGTTTTCAGTATCTTTCCTCACTAATGCCCTAGAACATGAGCTGTACCTCAGGTCTGAAGGGCTCACGGTAATTATCTCAAGGCTTGGGTTTCCTGTAGTACACAGTGGTGCTCAGAGCTGCCTGAGCACGTTCTGCTCTTACAGCCAGTGCCGCCTCACCTGCTGCGTCAGCAGAGGAGGGCGAGACCCTGCCATCTGAGCAGAGACCTCTTCTGCCCAGAGCTGCTCTACACTGCACCCCAACATGCCTGCAGTTCTCAGCTTACCTGGTTTCCTAGACATTTTGGCAGATGAGCTCAGCGGATGGATGGTAATAACTGGGTTGGTTGTGCCTCTTTTAACTTCACCTTTCATGTTGTCTTTCCCAAACAGGGAATCCCCACCACAGAGCCTGCTTTAAAGACACAGATGAACCAAGTGGCGAGTATTTAGCTGAATAAAGGTCAGGAGTCCAGGATCACTAGCAGGCAAATTCCCATATCTGAATTCCTAAAGCTGCTCTGTATTTCATTCTGCCTTCAGTGCCCATAAAACAGCCAGAGATTCCCATCTCCAAGCTGTACACCTTGCCAGCCTGTGCTGAAGTGGGGATGGGACAAAAGAAACTGCATACGCTAGACACTGGGGGTTAGTTGGACCAAAGGCACATGGATTGTGCCAAAGCTGTGAAGAGTCAGTGTAGCTGTGGTACAGCATAAGAAATAGGTCATCGTGTATTTAGTCTGTGTACTTGCTGGGAATTTTCTAAGGAAAGTGTATGAAAAAAATAGCTGTAATGGATACTCTTGTAGAACAACACCTTTTGCTCATTAGTAACACCGAGCAGGACTCCTCCCCACCTAGAAATGTGCACGCACCTTACGTGTACCACACCGAGGCACTCTGCAATTGGATGTTTGCAAGCAGAGTGAGTGACGGAGAAGTGACAGCGGGGGTGCCCAGCCCTGCAGGACAGGGGCTCACGGCCGGATGAGCCCGCAGCACGGCTCGCTGGCCATTTCTAGTTTGGGCTGTGTGCCGATGAGCAGGCCTTTGCGCGTACTGCAGAGGGGTCTGCCTGCGCCCTGTGCTCTGGGTGGCCGTCCTGGCTGACTCCATCCAGCGTGGTTTCATGTTGGACCCCGTTCTAACAGAAATCGCTTCCTTTCTTTTCCCACCCTCTCTTCTCCAGCTGATAACAAGACGAAAAAGAAAGTAGCTCATCGGGACAGGAAGCAGGACTTCTCTGCCTTCAAGCAGACAGACAGCGAGATGAAGGTTAAAATATCACCGCAGCTCCTCCTGGCAATGCACCGGTTCCTGGCAACAGGCAAGTGCGGGTTATCTTTTCTTGCGATCGTGCCAGAGCCTCGGAGGCAGTTTGTCAGCAAAGGCCGGTGAGGTGGGTGGGACAGTGCAGGCGGGAAGGGAGGCTGGATTGTGGGGTGACAAATAATGCCACTGTTGTGTTTTTCTTTTTAAATTCTCTCCTCTCCTGTGTTCAGTGTCGGCATGAACCCTCTGAGACATTTACCAGGGGTGGACCAGTAACTTTAAATTGGTCTGAAAGGTAAGGATGAATGCCAAGTGCCGCACTGCATGTCTAGAGTCCGTCAGATTAACGACTAGCAAGTACACCCCATTAGGAAGAGCTCAGGGAACAAACCAGAGGACTCGATACCACTGGCCAGCTGACTGTAATTGCACTCTGGCGCCTTCTCCAGAAAGAGATGCTGGACTTTTTGCAGGAAGGTCTAAACCTGTTCCATGAGACTTTTTGACTCCAAGTGAAAAACTCTCCCGACACATTTAATGCAGACTGCGCAGGCGATTGAACTGTACTTTTTAAAATGGATTTCTGGCTGGCTTGCGTGACCTCCGTTGATGACTTCAGGTTTCAGAGGACAGTTGTCTCCATCCCAGAACACCTTGATGTTTAAGCCCTTGGGTGGGCAGTCTGGCAGAGAGGCCAGGGCCTTGAATGGTTTCTTGCAGCTGATAATTGCCTTTCGTCGTAAAGTGGGTCCCTTCACCTCAGAGATGAGACCTGTTAACAGGAGAGCTTGTGGAAAACATACCTTCCTATTGCTCGTGCTGTCTCTCTTTGACATACAAAGACTTCTCACATGCAGGCCTTTCAGACGGGCGTCTTTCACTGCTATGTTCAACATATTTTCATGGGTTGAAAATGAGAAAGTTGTCTTGTCTTGAGTTTCCCAGCTACAGTTGGAAACTAGTACTTCCCCTCCTCTAAGGTGCAGTAACTGCCTGCCTAGATGCTCCTAGTCCGCCTCCATGCTTTATTTTGCCTCTGTGACTTAAAAGAAACACGTAGATGATCGGTTATCACATCTCAGCCGAGGGGCAGTAATTCCTTAAAAGGCTTGGACTCCTACGGCTCACGTGCACGTGAGCATGTCTTTGGTGAAAGGAAGCGGTTCAACAGGAAGATGCGGATTTAACAGCAAGCAAAGCGTTGTTCATGTAGTGGTACAAGACGTGATGGAGTTCCCTAAACACCTGCTCAACAGACATAGTCTTGCAGTGCTGCTTCTCTACTTGTTCTGTGGATGAAAGGATTGTGTAGTTTGAATCCAGGTCTGTCTGTGAAGCCACTGATAAATAAGATGAAAGCTACAGTTTTGGTTTCTCTGTTCTAAATTGAGAATAGTATCTTTAGCAGATGAAAGGTACTGGGTCATTAACTGTGCTGTTCTGAAATGAGGTGTTAGGAAAACTTACCAATTTGCATGTGTAAATCTCGACGTCTCTGGCTTAACTCTCTCACACAAGGATGAGCTTTTCCGCTTCAAACAGCTCCTGTTGGGAACACTGAAGAGCAAGTGGATAGGGGACGTGTTCTGTGTGTCAGGCATTAATCCCATGTGGTTTGAACTGACCTGTACTGTCTCTCACTTTGAGTAACTCTTCTCATATGAACCATGGCAGCCACATTTGTGTCTCTGGTTTATGTAAAACATCTATCTAGAGCAACTTTCTGGGCCCCAAACAGTGATTTTTTTTTTTTTAAATTATTATTTTTAAGTGCAATAAATGCAACAACTTTAATACGTGTTGAGGAAGGAAAAAACAAATTCAAAGGTTCTCTGTCCCCTGATCTTCTTTATATACAACTCTCCAGTGACCTATACAACTGTGACTCTGAACTCTCAAGGAGGCGAGACTGCCTTTTTCTTTTCCCTTTCAGATGAAGACATGTTTTTTGTTGTTTTGAAAAATGCTTCAGTAATGAAAGTTGGGGCGTTCCTGTTTTGGTTTTTTTTTCCCCCTTGCAAATCTAACAGTCTCAAAAGACAGGAAGCCTGCAATTCCATAATGGATCTCTCTGCATCTGTGTGTCTTTTATAGGCAAATGCTTATTAACGAGTATTGCTAACTTCTTGTCAGGCATACGAAGTGTAATGCCAAGTTGTATCTTGTGTTATAGAAGTAGAAGCATTTGGTCCATCCCAGATGTCAGAGAAGATCCTTCTCAGGCTGCTAAAACATCCCAACGTCATCCAGGAGCTGAAATACGATGAGAAGAACAAGAAAGCCCCAGAACACTACCTCTACCAGCGAAACAAGCCCGTCGACTACTTTGTTCTCATTTTACAGGTCAGATATGTGATTATGTAGATGTGTGCAAAATCTTTCATCACCTGACTTACTCCTCTCTATACCTCTTCCAGTTTGTCTTCTTTCAAACATGGGAATGGAGCTAGGGCTCTTGGGAGCTGCTCCTGCCTCCTTTCTGACCTTGCCAACATTGAAGAGCTCACTCAGCTGCTTTCAGCCCCAGTTAAACCAGTCGTGAAGGGTAGACAGCACTTCTGAAGTCATCTGTTGGACATTACTTGGGCTTTTGGTATCACTAGGATAGGCAATCCAAAGGGACCCCTGTGTACAGCTGGCATTGCTTGGAAAACAGGAGTGTGCAAAACGGCATGTTGTAAGAGTTTGGCCAGGATGGTTTCTCTAATACGTTTTTTCCTTTTGGAAAAGGAGGCACAGGGGGGAGTTTGGCAGTTTAGGGAAATGACACTTTTCTGCACCTTGGGTGTCGGGAGCAGCGGGGGTTTGAGTGGGGGCGCTGCGCCATCTCCTGGACTGATGGCACCTCCTGCCACAGCCCCTGCTGTTCTCGGGCACCCCGCCATCCAAGCACTCACCCTACCTCCAGATGGCTGCGTTTGGGTGGGTGTTAGACTGGAGCCCTAGGTGGTGTGGAAGGACTGTTTTCTGCTTGTTCTGTTCAGGATTGCTTCCAGTGCTGACATCTCCCAGGAACACTTGCATGGCCAGGTAGAGCTTTACACAGAAACTTTGCTTCCATCTAGCACCACCTGAGCAGGAGCAGTCCTTGAAGAGAGATTTTGCTGGAAAGGTGCTTATGTTTCTGTCCTGCATAACTGAAATGAGTTTCAGTTATAAAAAAACAACCATCATACCTGAAGTTGTAACGCAGGGCTTGAAATCTTGATTAACGTGGCCTTAAAAAAAAAAGTTGAGGGAGTATTAAACGCTGTCAGTGATAAACAATTAAGAAAGCACTGGAAGATAATCTTGTGGATTCAACGTAATTCTCTTTTTAAAAAGGATGAGTTTTTCCAAGGGTTTGAGGAGCCACTGGGTAGCTCTTTAATTCCTCTTTCGTATGTGCTGAATTGTTGCAATCTGAAATATTCCAGAGGCAAGATAATGCTCCTGAATGAGGTAATGCTGCAAAGATGTAAATGGAGGACATGGGCGATACCAAAGAACAATCAGTTCTTTCTGAGCTAGTCTTCAATCAATAAATATTTACCAAACACAAAGTGCTAGCTCCATAATGCGTTTGGAAAAGTGAGTTTTGCAGTAAGTACATGCTCTAAAAATGGTAACAAGGTTGGTTCTGCAAGGATCAAGAAGGGATAAATGCTCTGCTTTTGTTGCTTAAATGGACTTGGACTTATTCTCTCATATCGAGAGGCCAGGAATACCTTCACAGTAAACACATGCCAGAACACAATTAAATGTATATTCTGTGCATTAAACTTCCCAGTTTAATCTCTGTAGGGTTACTGGTTTAGCTGGAATGTCACCTGTTTGCAGCAGCTTTTCTCTTGGAAAATGGGAAGTTCTTCTCTAGCAGTTGGAGATATTTTTTTTGTCCCTGTGTTTTTTCAAAATTCCTGTTAGAACGTTGAACAGTGGAAAACCAGAAACCACACGTGCATGCATTTAAACAGGGCAGAACACATCCAGTAGCATGCATAGGGAATGCCTAACGGCTTTTCGGCTGCTGTGACTATGCCAAGCGTGCCTGGGCTTCATATGGCCACCACTGGGAAGCTGGGAGGTGCTGCGTCTGCTGTAGAGCGATGGTCTTGGAACTGAAACTCAACTCCTACCACTAATCACTGGTTTCTATTTAGCTACTAACTCCAGACCGACTGTGCAGGTCAAAGCCCAGTTGCGTATGTATTTTGGAGACCTGGTCTTGGCTGGTGAGTAACTACCAGCAGTAAGTAGGCTGAGAGCTCTGTTCATAACCAGTCTTTGCCTGGGTGACGACATCGTACCTTTTGGAAGGCTTGTAATGAACAAGTAAGCTACTTATTTGTGTTGTGGAGTGAAATTGGTTTTAAAAGGGATTATATGGACTCGTTGCTTGTGATAGCAGGAAAGTGGATTTGTGAGCTAGGCACTCTCTTCCTGGTAGGCAGATTTTGTGCTTTTTCTCATCTGGGACAGTTAGACAAACTGATTTGTCTCAGGGCTCGTGCAGGTTGCGTTCATTTTCATGTTTTTCTGCCCCAGTACAGTACTGTAAAGTTAAAGGTATGATTTTAAATGGTGCTTAATGGAATAAACACATAAAAATACAATCTATCTTTTGGACCCATTTTGACCCGATTGTGTCTAGTTGATGTTCAGTCTACTTGGCACACGTGGGGCAGTCTGTCTGCCCTTTCCCGCCTAGCCAGAGGAAAAGCATTGCAGGTATTTGCCTGAAATCCCAACCTTTGTGTAGTTCAGCCTGAAAGGTGTGTGAGATCTCTCCTGTCTGCAGTGGTGTGCTGGAACTCTCAGTGCAGTACCAGTGGGGATGGGTAGATGTGACAAGCAGGCCCTCCTGAGAGGCCAGTTATGTTTGGCTGCTTGTATACCAAAGTAACTGGGATGTTTACAGCTGTGTTTGGTACTGGTTTAGGGTCCTTTGTAGGATGTGACGGTAAGCGTTTGGTTCAGCCCACATCAGCAGCGGGTGCGCTTGCGTGGTAGTGTGGTTTTGTACAGCTTGGGAAGCACTGAGGGTCATTCTAGGCAAGACCGTGATCTTAGGTGTGCTGGAATATGCAAAGCTGCTTGAAACCAAGAAAACCAAAGTAGCCCCAAGACTACTCCTTCAGGAATAAGGGGCTTTGTTTCTGTGGGAATCTCATCGGCGAAGGCAGACAGCCTCCTCGTTCCCATGCTAGTGTTAGGGGATGCTTCTTGTGAATGTCAGCTGTAGCCCAAAATGTCTAGGTGTCTCAAGAGCCCAGGTGACTGTGCTACATATAAGCTTGTGATACTGGGGGTGAGATTTTTTTCCCTCTGTATTGAGGGAAAGCTGCCTGGCAGCACTTGGAGCAGGGCAATAGTACCACCCTGAAGCACCGAGGTGATCCTGCTCCCTCTGCAGGGGCTTACACTGGGGACAGAAGGACAGGATAGCTCAGGGCACAAGCATATGTGACCTTCCAGGGTCTGTCCCTGTCCAGGCATCCTTACAAACTGCAGGGACCATTCTTAGGAATGTGAGGCAAAACTAGCTTTCAGGGCTCAAGCCTGATCTTGTGCCTCGAGACCTACGGTCCCTTTTAATTGCAGCTCTCTCTCCTTTTCCTTAACAGGGGAAAGTGGAAGTGGAGGCTGGGAAAGAGGGGATGAAGTTTGAAGCTGGTGCTTTTTCCTACTATGGGGTGATGGCCCTCACAGCATCGCCAGGTATGTCCTCTTACCTTCTGCTTCTGGAATGCGCTCCTGCACAAGCCTGCCCGTCTTGAGAGCGCAGCGGGAGGAGGCTGCGCAGGGCACCCCCCTGCCCCCCGTGTCCGTGGGGCCGATGTAAACGAGACCTCCTTGCCTGCGGAACTGCCTGCCTGGCACAGCGTCCCTGGGAGGGGACTCCCAAACCCGGTGCTGGCAGTGGCTTGCCAGTTCCCGGAGGATGTCAGCCTTAGTGAGTGATGCTGGAGAACAGCTTTGTTGTTTTGCTTGGGTAGGGTGAAGGGGGTTGAATTAATGGGAATAAATGGTTAGAGGCAGAGGGACATCTAGTGGTGCAGGCACCTGGCAGTCTGCGGATGGTTCGCTTTACCGGTCTGATTTCCAAAGCCGTCTTCAGGCAAAGCAGGGCAGCAAAAAAAACGATTGCTCTTCTCAGCTTGGGTGGAAATGTAACCGAGAAATCAGCAAGGGGGAAGAGCTGGTGTCTGAGGACGAGCTGCAAGCCAGTTCCCACCGAGGTGTGAGCCAATTCCCGACAAGGTGTGAGCCAATTCCCACCGAGCTGCGAGCCAATTCCCGGCACGCAAGCGGTAGCCGCGTAAGCCACCACCTCACAGGTGCAGGTTGGGGGATCGTCTTATAATCCACCAAGAGTAGGCTCCAGTGCTGCATGTCAGCGTTTGGTGAGGGATTTTGGTGCCAGCAGTGTCATCGCTATGATCCTGACCTCAGCTGGGAACCCAAAGCCACTGGCTCAGCTTCAGGGAGAGACGTTTCTCAGGCTGAAATCGGGTCCTCCTGCTGCAGCAAGGTTTGTGTTCCACTTGAGAGGAGGCTCGTTTTAATTGTACGCTCACGAGCACTTCCTTTACGTATGTGTATGTACGTTAGCAGATGGCATTGGAATGAAAATGGTTTTGAAAGTTATGAGTATCGCCTTATTAGGCTCTGCAGACAACGGCAGTTCTCTTGGATGTGTGAGCTCACTTTTAGAGGCAAGACTAATTCTTCCTTAATTATGTGCAATTTAATTTGATCAGGCTAGCTTATACCTTTTGAGGCTTGACGGAAAGTGTGCGGAGTGTGGGGTGGATTTTGTCTGAGTCACAGTGGCAGCGTTCACAAGGAATCGTGACGTGCGTGTGTGCAGCTGCATCGGACCCTCTGCTTCGCAGCTCGGCTTTTGCAGTATGGGCCAGGCACGGCGTTGGGTTAGGCATGGTCACTTCTCCTACCAGACTATGCTCGGAAGTGCCTTGTGGCACCTCTGTTGTGCCAGCATTGTTCAGGTTGAATGTTTTCATGTGCTTTTTGTGTTGCTAACCCTCCCCACAACCATGCCAATGGCGCCAAGTCTTGTGAGATCAAATGATCTCCTCTTGGCATGCCCTGAAATCCATCTTGGATTTTGCCATGTCAAACATTTGGATATCCACTATTTTAAATTAATCTCAGCCAACCTTGAGTTTGTTTACTGTCGGCTGGTTGCCTTTTACCGCAGCAAACCCCTCATTTTGCTGGCTTTCCCTCCACATTTTAGAGAATTTGTTTTATGATGACTTGCAGCATCCTGAGATTTCTGTGAGGATGGGCTCATAAAAATAAATTCTTCTTTCCCTGTATAGACAGGAAAGCTCAGTGAAAGCATAACTCACTGCAGAACAACATAAAATTCCTGCTCTTCTGTGTGTCCTAATTAGACCTTATGTGCCTGCTCTCCCCACCTGGAATGTGAAGTGAGGAACAGGAGAAGAGAGCATTACAAACAAACAGACAAAAACTTCCCCCAGAACAAAACCCCAAACAAACAAACCAACCCAGACAAAAGAGTGAAGGTTTTCTCTTTAGCTACAGCTGGGGAAGGATTTGCAGTAATCACGAGCAGAACAGCACCCATCCTGACAGGGATGAGCATTGAGAATCACAACTTCGCTTGACATTTCACTGGAAACTTGAACACCTATGAAGCATCCTTTGATTTTATTTCTGGTTTTGCCTGGTTCCCATAAGGAACAGCACCTGTGAAAGCTTTCGGGTTTGTTTTAACTCTTTGCCTTCCAGGCTGGAGCAGGCACCACTGCTCCTTTTGAACTGTTTTAAATCTGAGTGTACCTTGATGGGACTGTTCTGTGCTGGATAACCATTCAAATTAGCTAGTGAAAAATGGTCGCTTCACTGTAATTCCTCAGGTGTGTTTTTTGGTTTATTCCTAAAATTGTTTAATTGTCTTTTTTTTTGTTTTGCTTTTATTTTAACCCTTTACTTTTTCACAGTCGATTTGCACTTTTGGTTTTAGTTCTTCGGTGTGTGAACTGGCTCCTTCCCCTGTCAAGCGTGGATAGCTGCCGCCTTTCTGGTCGTGATCTCATCCTTTTTCTCTCCCTCTTCTAGTTCCCTTGTCCCTGTCTCGTACCTTTGTTGTCAGCAGAACAGAGTTGTTAGCAGCAGGTTCTCCAGGTAAATCCGCATGCTTCTATTTTCACCATTCTTGTGACTGCCCTGATGCCATAAAAAGTCAGCTGCAGTCTGTATTTATCTGACCCCTTTGCTCGTTAGGGAGAAGTCCAGCACAGAGTTATGCCTCGCAGGTAGGTATCCTGAATTTGTGTTTGTGGTATCTGGTGGCAACATGACAGTCGTTGAAACGGGGAGAACTAAAGACGCGTTGAAGAAAATGTATTTGGTAATGTGTACTTGTTCTTGTTTCTCACATGTATGCTGGTGGAAAATTAGGAGGGGAGATTTTTTTTAAAAGAAGGTATTCTCCCTCAAGCTGAGGCTTAAAAATTTCGGAAGAAAATGCATTTGGCAGAGGAGAATGTCTGCTGCTAAACTCCATAAAAGGAAAACTTCTTTAATGAAAGAATTCTTATATTCTCTTACGGGTAGACTCCATGGTTTGTATACAGTCTGGCCATTTCAATTCCTCAAAAGCTTTGAGCTTTCGGCAGGGTTAATGCCGTGGACTGGCACAGTGAGTTACTGAGCGGACGGATTTGCAGTGGAATGTGCAAGAAATCTGTGGGATCTCCTGTGGGGTTTTCTGGTTCCCATTTTGCTTGAGTCCTTTCCTTGCTGAATAACCAAGTTGACTGACACAGAAAGCCCTTTGGAGAGCAGAGACCAAGGAGGGGGCGAACTGGGGCAAAAAGAGCTCCGATATGTGAGCAGTTGGAAATTGGGAAAGGTCAAGAACGGAGCTTTGCAGACACTGCATGCACAGAGCAGTAGAGGAAAGTGGAAACCCATCAAGGAAGTCTGTAGGAAGAGCAGAATCCTAAAATCGTTTGAGCCACAGTGAACATATTTCTTCCTTTTGAAATTTTCTTTTTCAAATGAAATGTCTTTCCCTAGACCTAAAAGCAAACAAGATAATGATATGCATACTGAAGTGAAACGTCTCCTAAACATTAATACATGTCATACGTTTCATAAACTTTCATCTGCTTCCTCTGTTTCCGCCCCTCTCCTTTTTTCACTGTTGAAAATGTGTTTCGCCATCAGTCCTTAAATTAGTCTCATGCACATTCCAAACAAACTACAGGTTGTTGTCCTGCAGGGCGGTTTTTTTTTCTCTTGCCCTGTTAAAATTTCCTGCTGCTAAACTTCAAAGAAGGGGGAGAAATTTAATCTTTCTTTAATTAAAGTACCTGATGGCTTTTTTTTTTTTTTTGAGCTCAGTGGCTTTGATTATCTTTTTGTTAGCTTGGTTCTTTTGTTTTGCCAGGTCTTCTTTTTTTTTCCTTGCTACAAATAAGTGGACACTTAGCACATGCAGGTTGTTTCCGATAGAAATGCCAAGCATATTTTCCTAGGTTTTTCCCCTCAACTAGAAAGAAAATCAATCAATAATAGAAAATAATAATGGGAAGAATCTCCTTTGGAAGGAACTGATATGGTAAGCCTGGTCACTGTGGTAATGTGGTACCAGTTCTAGTGAAGCTCAGAACTTCTGCTGGGTCCTGAAAAGGATCCTGTTGTTTAACCCCAAATTCGCAATATGGTTGGATTGATGTGCGTTTTGTGGTTTGCGCTCTATCCTCTGCAGAGGAAGTTGGGGAATATGGGAAAACGTGAGTAGAAAAGGTCTGTCCAGGTGTGGGCTGGCCTGCCAGGTTGATGTTCTGCAAACACGGACCTGCCTGGTGTTCTTCTGTCGCCTGCCCTTTCTGTATCCTTCCTTCTTTGTTAACTTCTCCCTCCCTGACCTGTAGGTGGTCCAGAAGTGATGTCTTTTCCCTCAGAGTTCTAGTAATCATACTTTTTAGCTCTGTCCATCTGTTTCACCTGTCCCGTTTGTTTGTTTTTTAATATATGCTTGTCATGTTGCTCTTTGTTTTTTATTCGTAATGTTCTATGAGACTGCTGATGAAAAGAAAGGGCAGATACAGGTCACACTAGTGTGAAGCTGTTCCAGACAGAAACCTTTATCCTGAGCAGCAGTGATGCTGTTCTTGTCACACACAGCTCTATTTGGTGTTTGCAGGGGGGAAAGGCAGGACAGATTTGCTCAGCCTTCGCAGTTCCTTGTTCTCCGGTGGGAACTACAGCATCAAGGCCTGTGTGCAGAATGAGGTTTGGCTCCGGACAGGAGTTACTGCAGCCTGCTGTGGCTTTCAAGATGGCAAGTTGGGATGGAGGCAAACCTTGCAGGGCCCTGAGTGCTTCCCCCTAAGCCTGTACTTGGTGTTGCCATAGGGACCTGTGCTAATTCCATAGTGCAGGAATGGCAGGAAAATTGCCAGGTGGTCAGAACCTGTATTTTTCTGTTCCCTTTTCTAAAATTAAAGGAAAGACAGCATCAGAGTGATTTAAAAAAACTGGGCGATTCTGGCATGTATCTAGAAGCATCTAATTGTTAGGTTTAGGAAAGGCTGGATGCAGAGATGTAGAACAGGCTGTGTCATTTGGGCAAGAGGGATTATATTTATAGTGATTAACTAGCAGAGGTAGGGTTGAATTTTAGGGAGGGTTGGGTTTTTTTAGAAATAAGTTTATATATAGAAAAGTCTTCCAAAAATAATTTGAAAAGCTTGCAAGTATACTGTTGCTGACTTGCTCAAAGAGGCTTTGTGTCTTAAGATGATATGAAAATGAGCTTTCAGCTGAGGACGGGGGTCACGTGGCGAGTAGCATAGATGACATCAAGTTTCAGTTTGGGCTGGCTGAATGAAATTTAGCTGCATCAAGATCCAAACATTCACCAGCCCCAAGGACAGTTCTTGGATCGGTATGTACTGTGTGTGCACCCAGGGAGGAACCCGTCTGCAGGGGAGCTTGGGGTCTCTCTTAGGGTGCATTTCTGTTCTCCTGTCTTCTGGGTCACTGTGTGGGTGGAAGCTAGGGATGCGAAATATCTGTGGCTTCCTGAAAGCACGTTTATTCGAGATAAACTGTGACCAACCACACTCGCAGGGCACAGCTGCGAGGTTTTCAAGTGAAGCCCTACAGTGCTTAAAGGCCAGTGATGGAAGATGATGTCTTCAGTTTACTCCTTTCCTGGACACAGAGTAGCACTGACTGTTTCCTGTGGTTTTCTGGCTGGCATGTCCCACATGGAGCTTGCTCTTCTTCGTTGAGTTTTTGCCCTTGAAGCACTGGGAGGCACTAGAGGAAACGTTGAAATAATCATCACATGAACTGCCCTTTGGTCCACTGAGAACTCTGTCGCCCTTGAAAATGTCTGCTCTAACTCAGGGAACAAGGCATGTATAGGAACCAGGTGGAATAAAAGGGGGTAAGGATTAGCTGGGACTGACTGTGGATGAAAGGTCTGGCATGGAGTTGTTATAAATCATTAAGGGGGGGAAAAATAACCTACTAAACATGGTCTGACTGTGAAGATCTCCTGTAAGGAAGCCATGAGAAGTTACCTTTCTCTGGTGGTTACCACTCTGGACTCAAAATGTACTCTTTTTCAGGGTAATTTGGTTGTTTAGCTGCATGTCTAGTTATGAGTGGATTAACTGTTTGCAGTTCTTTTGTGCTACATCATTGTGATTTATTATGTCCCTTTGAAACTGGTGACTTCAGATGTTTTCCACTTGATTTAAGAAATCTCTCGCTCTTGCCCATTTCTCAGCCGAAAACAAGTCTCCGCCTCGGCCCTGCGGCTTGAATCACTCAGACTCTTTAAACCGAAGTGATCGCATCGATGCAGTGACACCTACGTTAGGGAGCAGCAACAACCAGCTGAATGCTTCTTTCCTTCAAGTGTATGTTCCAGACTACTCAGTGAAAGCACTCACAGACATTCAGTTTGTCAAGGTAGGAAAAAATCTGGAATGCTGGGCTTGGCTGGTAGGATGGAGAGACCAAGGAAAGGGGGGCGCTCCAGATTGCTTTGTGAGTAAATAGGATTATGAAAGCAGCCATTTAAAAGTCACCTGAAATTACTTTTTCCCCCCAGTATCTGCTGTCCATTGGTTTTTCTTCCCTGTTTCTCTCGTTTAGGCTTGTATGTAGGTTGGTCACATAGGTTTTTGGATTTCAGGTCCCTTGAGGAAAGATTATAGAAAATAACCTCTCTCTGCTTTTAGTCATGAAAGACATCTCCTTGTGAAGCCTTTGGAGCCATCTGAAACGGAGACCCTTCATTATCAGTGTCCTATCTAAAGGATGAGACATTTTCTGTTGGTTGCAGTTTTTATTCACTTCTGATTTTGGTTTCAGTTTGGGGTTCTTGATCTTAACTTTGCGACTTGCCATCCTCCTTCTGCTCGGAGAAGTCTTGGACATTGCTCTTTATCTTGACTTCTCATGTTAGGCTCATGTCTCGTACTACCAGTGAGTTGCTGCATGAATACAGCTCTGTCCCCCAGCATGGTGCATCCCACGCTGAAACGTGTGCCAGTCCTGTGGGATAGGAAATCTAGTTGAGCTGAGGAACAGCTAATGCTGGCAGCAATTCCAGCCCAGCTGGAAGTCCAGGGAAGCTGAGGTCCCATGGCCAGAAGTTGACCTTGATGCTTTTCTTGAATTAAGTGCATGTTCACAGTTTCTCTGTATGCCACCCAAGTGATTTGTGAACTCAACTTCTGTCAAAGTTAATTCGATATTAAGAATATGGGATAGAGTAGAAATACTAGAATGCTAAAGCAATTGTTTTGTGACCAAATTTTAAAAGAAGAGTACAGTCTTGCATTCAAAAGTTGACAGATGCAAGTGTACTGGTCGATGGTCCAAGCCTGCAGGGTTTGGGTCAGTAAGTGTTTGTCGCTGGGCAAGTGATTCTCACCACAGATTTCAGCGGTTAAACGGCTGTACGGAGCGGCTGCTCATCTTACGCTGGTTTAAGTGGTGTCCTTCCGACTCTCACCGTGTCCATGCTGAGGCTAATGAATGCTAAGCTGCCTGCTGTCTCTGCAGTCAGGCTTGCACACCTCTTTTTGCGTCACTGCTTTACACACAGGACACAGTACTCAGCATTAGTGTTCTCACTGTGCCACATGTGCACTTACTCAGTTAATACCTTGTAAACCAGGGTTGTGACCTGCTCGTGCATGTTTGGAGTTTGCTGTTGGAGTTGTGACCTGGCCCATCTGACTCTGTGCGTTTCCAGTCCCTCCCTTGCGTGGCTACTGAAACTTACGGTTTTCTGAAAGTCTTGTTTCACCTCCTCCACCTTCCACCTTGCTGCCGAGATAACCCACTGCTGCTGCAGCACATGGGGCTCCCGGTGCATGTGCATCGTGCTGCCTGTCCTGGCTGAGAAGGCTGACCCGGAGGTGTTTACGGGGCTGGTTGCTTATGGCTCCAGGAGGAATTCTCCCCTACCACGTGCAGATATCTGGGGCTATAGGCTTCTTGCCTCTGGGGCATCGTGAGCCGTAACACTGTGTGCTGTAGGCCAGCTCCTGCCATGAGAGTCCTGCTGAGTGGAGAGACTGGTGGAGACTTCCTGGGTTGCTAATTGGGACTCATCTCTGTGGCGATCCCAATCTTTTCTAGAATCAATTGTCCTCCTGTGTCAGGATAAGCCCGTAGCTCCTGCTGCGTTTGCTGGCCTAGACAAGCAGTGATGCTTGTACCCTCTGGCTCTATAAGGGCTCTTAGAGCCTCGCCCCGAGCACACAAGTTGGGAGAAAGACTTTGCCAAACTCAGGTTCTGGCCCTAGAAACGTACGTGGTTAGAAGGAAACGGAGATCTGATTTCAAAATCCCTGCACAGGAGTAAATCCCTGCCTTCAAACAGTGTGTGGTGATCGCACAGCTCTGTGCTTGCACCCTCTCTGGAAACGTCACCACGCTGTGGTGTTGAGTTGGGATGCTCTGGGCTTGTGAAGCGCAGGGGTGTTTTACAGGAACGGGTGAGCAGGGGTTGAAGTGTGATCATCTGGAAAGGGAGGGCACTTTATTTTGTCAGTGCCTCCCACGGGAGAGACAGAAGTGTGACTGGCTCTTTCTGTTCCCTCCTCCTGTCCTTGGAGCAGATCTCAAGACAGCAGTACCAAAATGCCCTGATGGCATCCCGGATGGACAAAACACCTCAGTCCTCGGACAGTGAAAACACTAAAATCGAACTGACTCTTACGGAGCTGCATGACGGTTTGCCGGACGATTGAACGAACAGAACTGTGTGACTCACAACAAGCCCAACCACAGTATGCACAGTGAAGGAGCCATCTAGGAGCTGACTCCCCACAACCCACCCATCCCATCTCCTCCGCAGGACCAGCCCTCGCTCCTTCCTGCCTCCTCCCCGAGTGTGAACACCGTTAGTATGTGCTTGCAACACTGTGCTGCATCCAGTGTTCTGAGACCAAAGACTTTTGCGTCCATTCTGGGAGCAGAAGAGGAAGAAACAGGAAGAAAGGAGCAAAGAACAAGAGAGACTAAAGCCCCAAGCGTACTTTGGGAATGGTGAGCCACCCTTGAGAATGATGAAAATACTTCTTGCAGAGTAGAATCATGTTTATTTTTTATCTGTATTTTTGATCCTTGTTGGGTTTTTCCTCCTCAAACACATATGGAGAAGTTTAAAAGCTCCTCCAGTTATTTTTTCAAGAGAGATCATGTTTTTAAAAAGTATTTTGCAGAGTTTTAAATTGTTTCTGTCTGTCACGAAGCTCAAATGGGTTCTGTCGTGGTTTTGTGAATCGGCTCCGATGTTCTTAGGCCTCTTTTCACCCCTCTCTGGTCCTTTTCGTTGCCCTGTTGAAGACGTTAGTAACTGGTACTTGTATGTTATTTGTGTCCTAAGAATGAGCAAGCTTCAAGGGACCTCGGGTTTCAGCCACCCGGAGGGCCAAGGGATGAGTATTATTACATTCTTCCAGCTGAGTTTCAGGGAAGGAGTGGTTACTTTGGTATTTAGTGATCTCTCAATAATTTTCAGAAGGCTTCTTTGTAAAACAGGCAAAAGTGTTGTTACACTTACGGTTTTGTAACCTCCAAAAACTTTGTGTATGTTGAAGATGATACTGGGGTTGGTGGGGAAAGGAGTTAATTAGCAAAACTGCAGCCTCGTGCAATGAAAGCCAGGTGTAATTTTCCATAGGGAAGTATCTGAGTGATTTTTCATTGATGTTCCTGACAATAGTGTGGGGAAGTAACGGGGGCGCCCCAAAACGACGAGCTGTCCAGCACTCGCGTGCTGTCGCGGCCTGCGCCCCGTTACCTCGGCCAGAGCAGGCACGCAGGCTTTGCTGAGTAACAGAGACCGGCAGTCCCGTCCCCCTCCCACCTCTAGTATTCACACAAACGATGCTGCTACAGTTATGCCCAAAGTACATCCTCCGGGTGACGCTAAACCTCTGCCAGTGCAAGGACGGGCTTGGGACCATCCTCTCCTCTCCAAGAACTGACAAAACTTTTCCGGACGCAAGTGTATTGCACTTCAGGGATTCGGAGAGGTTTGTTTCCAGGCTGTTCACAGCCACATTCCTTCCTTTGAGTGGGTTTAGTGCGTTTCCTTCTCTCTTGCCCCTCTTAACAGCCTCTTTAGGGATGACCACGGTAGCAGAGAGCCTCCCACCCAGCCGCCACCAGTGCAGGTCACCCTGCGTTGGGTGGCAGAAACCAACTCCCGCCCCCCAGAAACCTGAATGCAGACCGGGTGCAAGCAAGAGGCACCGCGTGGCAGTTGTCTGTCACACACTCCCCGCTCCCACAGATGGAGTCCAAGTCCTCAAATTTAAAGAAAGTGCCCCCCTCGATCCTGGCCCCTTCTGTGCTGTCTCAAACGAAATGTGAATGTTGCCCTCGGTATCTGGAGTGATAATAAACCCGGCATTGTGGTTTCTCTGTTTCGAGACCCTTCCGTGGCCCCTGGCTATGTAGCATATCCCTTCCTTTCCTTACACCCAGATAATCTCATCCAACCCTCCAAGAAGCCCCCGGCCCGAGAAGCAACTGCCAGAGCTCCCCGTGCCTGCCTGCCTGCCCCGTCGCCCCCGCTCGCGAGAGATTGCACAGTATCTGACTGGTGTGCCAGGGAGGAGGAGGTGGGGGCCCCAAGACCTTACCCTCACGTTTAGCTTTGTATTAGCTTAATTTTTGGGTCCCCTCTCAAGGCATTTCCATTGTCTCCATCCTCGCTCTGACACGCGCCAGCCCCCCGCCGCCGAGAGCGTGCAGCTCCGCGTCGGCACGGGCCGGCCTTAAGCCCGGCTCCTTCCCGGAGAGCTGCCAATACCGCACCTTTCTCACCAAGCGAAGTGTTGGGACGTCACAGCGTTTGTCCTGGGCGAGGGGCTCGCCTGGCTGGTTTGTGTGTAGCGTTGCTGAGTGTACTCCTTTGTCGGAAGCGTTGGACCTGGTGGTGAACTCGAGATGCAGTATCCGTCTCGTCAAACCTGCCAGAGGAGGGGGGGCTCAAGTCATGGCAGCTCGCTCTCTGGGATGAGGTTGCTTGCTGGATCTGACTTCTGCTTCTTGTGGCAGGTTACGGATTTGTTTCAGTGTCTGTTTCACAGCGTTAACAAAAAAAAAAAACCCCCCCAAAAAAAAAAAAGAAAAAAAAAAAGCCAATTTTTCCAACCAAAGCCATGTGATCCCAAAGCAAATACCTCCTGCTTCTGCCCATGCTGCACTGTTCCAAAACTGGCAGTCGATTTTTTGCATGACTGTTTTTCATCATTTGTACAGATCCAATAATGGAAAGCGAAATAATTTCCATAAAATTAGTTGATTATAGATGTGTTTCATATGGAAAATATGTACCTGACCCAGAGGGGTTGGGAGCTGCTACTACGAATTAGCTTGAAGAGCAAAGCATGGTCCTCTCCCTGGAGGGGAAAACATCCAGTCTCCCTGTTCTCAGGGTATTTACAGTTTTACTGTTTCACAAATGCAAGGGGTTCCCAGCCCTCCCGGTGGGAACTGTCACAGCAGAGGAGCCCGGCACCCGGCTCAGGATCACTCTGGGCCTCTGGACGGTGTTCGCCAGCGCCGGGGCTCGGCTCTCCTGGCTGCAGTGGAGATGCCGTGGTGTCTGAGCCCATGCCCTTGCAGGGGGTCTCCTGCTTTCTCTGCCTCTCCAGCAGGCTCCCATGGCAGATGTCCTGCCGTAAGGACGCGTGGCAGGGCTGCCGGGCGTCCCCGCGGCACGGGACACCGGCTGGTGGCTTTGGGAATCGTTGGACTTGACCTCAGACCTCGGCAAGGTCTCGTAGAAAGGATACTGCATCTTCCTGTGTCAGCTCCTACTGCCGCCTGTTCCCCTCGCCCGCCTGCCGCCGGGAGCAGGCTGCGGGGTGGGCGATGGCCTGTCGGCCGGGGGAGGCTGGGAGGGCGTCTCGCCACGGTTTCTACTGTCAATACAATTTTGCACAAGAGTTCTTTGAAGTGAGGTTTTCGACACTAATATCTTAAATGCACAACTGTGAATTATAACCTTTACACTCCTTTGGTTGAATTTCCTTTCAGTGAAATGAACCTGAATCTGTTGTAACTATGATTTTAATTTTTTTTTTAAATTCTGTGTATTGCCAAATCTTTGTAAAGAGTGAAGGAATGTTCTTGCTTTCCAATGAGAATCTTTCTCCAAACGCGACTGACTCTGGTGACGTGGAGATTGCACGAAGCACGCTAGTCCCGAGTGGAGAGGGGCTCAGGGTGGGCTTACCAAACCAACCTCGGCCTTCCTCAAGGGAGGGACCTTGCTCCCCAGGCTCAGACCCCTCCAGAGTTTACAAAGTGCTTGTTGTTCTATTCCCAGCTCGGCCACTCCCTGCAATCCCTGTGCCGCTGCCGGCCGCTGCCCCGGCGGAGCTCAGGGTATCCCGCAGAGGGACGAGGGATGCTGGCAGGGTGTCTGTGGCCATGAGGCTGGCGTGGCAGGACGAGTTGCTTCCCTCATCCGGTCGCACCGGCGGTGTGAGCTCCGTGGGGCAGGTCCTCCACCGCTCCCCACTCCTGCTCCCAGCCCGTAGGCGCGTGGCGTTCCCTCTCACGCTCTTGTTGCCCCCACGCGCGCTCCTGCTCCGGACTGAGCAGGGATGGGATGATGCCGAGACCTGCGCGGGGCAGCGGGAGCTGGAGCTGGCTGCTCAAGGCTTGCTGTTCTCGGCCCTGTCTGAGGAGGGGTCAGCCGCTCATCCCCGTTGTGCTCGCTGTTCTGTCCTCCTCTCTTCTCCTGGACCTACTCCCCTTTTCCTCACCGCAGGGTTATTTTGGGGTTTTTTCTCCTTTTCTTTAAGTGCCTTTTTGTGCAGGTGGAGCTGGCAAGAGTAGGAGTCTCAGGATATGGCCCTTTGCACTCACCTCAGGCCTGGAGGAAGCTCGGAGGGGGCAGGGCGCGTTGCCCGTGACGGCCCACGGACATCACCCCTTGCTGCTGCTCAGCCTTCAGGGCCCAGCTGGAGGGAGGGTGAGGCGGTGGCACCGGCGGTGCCAGGCTCAAGCCAGCTCAAAGGAAACCAAAGAGGTAGCTGTGTGCGAGGGGCTGCTGGGGCAGCGGTGGTGCTTCCTGTGATCTCTGCGGAGCTCAGCCCAGGGGCGTGGGGGGCGGATGGCAAAGAGCAGCGCTGTCCTCTCACCAGCATCCCGTGTAAGTATCCTATGGGATGGAGAACACAGCCGCGTTCTCCAGGGCCCCTTGGAACGTGCATCTTCCTTGTGCTGAAATACACCGTAGAAATCCTTCCCACCAGAGAGACGTACCATGTGTTATATGACACCTAATACACACGTCTGTTGTTTTAAACTAGTACCTGTGTACCAGCTGTCGAGTTCTCCGGTGTCTGGATTACCAGTAGGAAACTGGGGCTGGGGGGTGGGAAGGATGCTGCAGAGAGCACCCCTCGTTGTGATGCGGACTTGAGGCTTCGTCCCAAAGGTGTCGGAGCAGCGCTGAGGTTCATGCTGCTGGCACAAAGCTGTGAACGGGCATGTGCGGAAGGGCTTGGCGTGGTACAGACCCTGGCTTGCCGCCCGCCCCGCTGCCTGGCTCTGCTCTGGGGCTGTGCATAGACCCAAAGAAGTTCCTGGTCCGTGGGGACTGTGGGTTGGTTTGGCCCAGCAGCGAAAAGATGAGCTTAGCTCACACGATCGAGTCGGGCATCTTTTTTCGTGGCGCAGAGGAGAGAGCAGCCTTCACCTGACTTGACCCACAGAGAGGACAAGCTCCGCGCTCCAAGCTGGGCTGGGAAGCCGCCCTGGTTCCCACTCTCTTGTTACGCCTGGTCCATCAGTTGCAGGTCTGTTGTCGGGGTGATCTCTGTGGTGATGCTGTAGTCGCCCCCTTGCCTCGGCAGCACAGGGGGACTTGGAGACACCCGCGGCTTCCTGCAGAGCCCCCAGATGATCCCACCCGGTGTCGTGCTCGTGTCCAGGAGCCTGGCCTCCTGCTGGGTTGCGTTCCCCTGCAGTTCATTTCACAACCGCGTCCTTGAGGCCGTGTCCGGGCGAGGAGACGCGGTGGCTGCGGGTGCCAGGCGGTACGGTTGAGCTTTTGGGTCTGGCTGTGCGTATTTGCTGTTCCGTTAGAAGCTGGATGGTGAACCTGGGGAGGCCAGAGCATTCCCCAGGAGAAATCCTGGGATGCCAGGTTATCCCAGCGCCCTTCCCTGGGGCGGGAAGGGGGTGCTGGAAAGCTGCCTCCAGCCCGTGGCACGG